GACCCGAGCGTCCAAGAAGAGTTTTGCTCAACGGCGCAGCAAGTGAGCTCGTCCCGTAGCAAGACTGTCGACAACATGATCTTGGTGACCTTCTCGATGGGCAACCTCGTCGCGTCTGGTGCCTTTGCGACTGGCAAGTGCCAACTCGGCAAGAACGTTCAGTGGGTCTCGATCGCCGGCCCGATGCAGGGCAGTCGTGCCAGCAACCTCCTCGAAGAAAAATGTGGTGGCTCCGGCTGGGGCGCCCCGCTCAAGGGTGTCTTGAACCTTGTCGGTCATTGCCCACCGACGCCGGCGTACCTGAACCTCAAGACGCAGCAATCTGTGGATCGTTCCTTGCGCGACCAGTTTGCCGCCGCCCAAGACGTCCGCCGCCGGGGCGTCACCAAGGTCATGTGCGGTACCAAGTCGTCGGGTCTCGTCTCAACGGACGGTGCCGGCTTGGCGATTGTCGGTTCGATGGCGTTCGGTGACGACGGCACGCTTCACGACGGTGTCGTCGCCATGGGCAGTTGCAGCGTCGGTGTCGACAACTTTTCGACCGACGCCGAGGCTGGCGTCAACTATAAGGCGAGCATCAACCACCTCGATGCATCGTTCCGTCACGGCGATGGTTGGTGGGGCGTCGACCGCAAGCCCGTCAAGTGGTTCGAGTGCGCTTTGTAAACGCGCGATAGTCGTCTAGAAGCTTAGTGTGCTAGAGTATTGTAACCGTATATGTACAGTTTACATCCCAGCATGTCGCATAACCTCACTGCATTGGCGTTTGCCTTCTCGGATCCAGTATACATTGATAGTCGAATGATTCTATCGGCTGCCGAGGTTATTTTTGTGGTCATTTTAGCATGACATGGCTCGACTGTCATGATAACGATTCTTTCTTCCTCGCCTTGACGTACTACAGTATCTCGTCTTGAACCTTGCAAGTTTATGGCACCACCACTGTTTTTGTGGGGCATGTGGGTGCTTGCGTGGGGCACCACATAGCAGGGCCTTGAAGCAGCACCGCAGCGAAGGTCTAATAGTACGAAATGCATGCAGCAAAATCATTCAAACGAGTTTCAATACTTGGTTGGTGACCCGATATCGCCCACTGATGTCGGAGAGATTTGAAACTTGAAGAGCACATGGGAGTCCGCACGATGACACGCGCCGGATTTACCCACGTCTCTCTCACACCACTGGGACGCATCCAGGACGTTTCATACCTTCGCCGCCAACGTACGCGACAAGTGCGCCGTGCTGGAGTCTGCACTGCGCCCGCCTACCGAAGCCTGGCTCCGTTCGGTGGTGCGCGCGACCGACTGTCTCGCCCCTGCGACACCACAGGCCGACGCCGCCTCGACGGGGCCGCCCACGTGGCGCGTGTGCTTTGCCGGCATGGTGATGCCGC